CTGTTCCTCATCTCACTCTCATTGCCCCGCAGTGGGATGAGGGAGATGTTACCCAACCTGGAGTCCTGCTGCGACCGCGACGCCCGCACCTTGGAGGTCTCCGAGGGCCACAGGGCCCCACCGTTCTGGGGACAGAGGGGACAAGGGGTGGAGGAGAGCTGGAGACCGACTTATTGGTCCTCGGCCACTTGAGGAACCTCTCCTCCACTCCAGGATGCTGGTATTTCGGGATGCTTGGATGCTCCAAAGGGTTTCTGCTGGCCAAACATCCCTCCGCCCTGTCACCTGGAGGAAGGCGTGCCCTGTCCCTGTACCCTGTCCCCGTGCGTATCCTGTCCCCGTTCCCTACCTGCACGTGGAGGAAGGTGGCAAACCACTCCCGCAGATCAGCCTGGGTGTCACAGCACAGGTACCTGTGGGGACACAGAGTCTCAGCGGCCGGAGGGGACAGTGGGGACACACCCCTGCTGCTCCAGCTGCTGTTGGGGATGGAGACAGGACTCGAGACGCTGCTTTGCACCAGGGCCTGCAACCTCCCCCGGTTTTTTTTTGTGGTGACAGCCACGGACCCCCAGAAGGATCCTGAGTGGCTCCGTGGGCACCCAGCTGGGCTCTGCCCACAGAAATCCTTGTCTACTTCCCCTTAGCAAAGCCAGCGGGCTCACTGGTGGTGTATCTGTCTGTCCTGAGGGATGAGTTTAAGGTCCCCATGGCTGTCCCTTCCCTTACCATTGCTGCTTCTCATGCTTCTCGTTTTCATAGAAGACGGTGAAGCCCCAGCTGGAAGGGGAGAAGTGCAAAAATCAAGACCAAGCTCCCAGGCTTCAGCACCTCCTGTCCCTGCAAACCCTCATTCCAGTCCCTAGAAACGTCACCGTGTCCCTGCAACCCCACCATTTCCCTGCAACCCCTCCCCAGCCCTTCGAATCTCCCCAATCCTGCATCTCTGGGTACACAGGCTGGGTTCCCAGTGGGTTTAGCATCTCGACCCAGCGCTGCACAGAGATCCCAGCCCAGCAAAGCCCCGAGCAATGGCCCTGAGTCCTTCCCAGTTTGCACCAGTTTGCAGTCCAGCGGGTCAGGCACAGCTACCTGAGCCGGCCCTTTTGCTGGTGGTATTTCTTTCATGCTCATGCCCAGCCTCCTCTTCCTCCCTGCCTGGCCTCAGCTGTGCCCTAAGATCCCTGCAATGCCTGGCCAGGGCACCAACCTCCCCTAGTGCTGGGGGAGCCCCAAAGCCCCAGCTTTGACCCAAAGACCACCCTCACTGCCATACGTGCACCCCCCCACACGTATACCCACGCACTCGTATGCACACACAGTGCACGCCGGCACGTGTGCACACGCATGTACACAACTCGCTGACGTGCACGCACGCTCCCCCACACAGAGATGCACAAACACGTGTGCAGACACACGTACACACCCCGCTGACACATGTGCACACGCATGCGTGCACACACGTGCGCGCGTGCACACTCACAGGCGTGCACACTCACATATGTGAACACTCACACATGTGCACACATTCTGCAGAAGCATCCTGCGAGGCTGCTCTGACATCTGGTGGCAAGAGGCACAGCCAGCAGGAGACATGTCCCAGCAGCCAAATTGTCCCTGTCCCTGTCACTGTCCCCATCCCCTCACCATAGTCAGAGAATCACAGAATGTGTTGGGCTGGAAGGGACCTTTAAAGGCCGTCTAGCCCAATGTCCCTGCAGTGAGCAGGGACAGCTTTTACCCGATCAGGCTGCTCAGAGTCCCATCAAGCCTGACCTTGAACATCTCAAGGGATGGAGCCTCCAGTCCCTCTCTGGGCAACCCCTGCCAGTGTCTCACCATCCTCACAGTAAAGAACTTCTTCCTGACATCTAACCTAAACCTCCCCTGCTCTAGTTTAAAACCATTGCGCCTCGTCCTGTTCTGCACATCCTTGTATACAGCCTCTCCCAGCTTTTGTGCAGCCCCTTCAGGCACTGGAAGGTGCTGTAAGGTCTCCCCGGAGCCTTCCCTTCTCCAGCTGAACAACCCAACTCTCTCAGCCTGTCAAACCATCCCTACACCCACCCTCATCCATCCCCAGCCCCATCCTCATCCCTGTCCCCAGCCCAGGAGGGTCCCACATCACTGCTCACCACGTTGGTGGACGAAGTTTTTTCTTAATGCCCAGGTAGACTTTCAGATTCCTGACAGGCCACTCCTTCTCTGGCTTGTGGCTCTGGAGGTGGGAGGGAAGAAGGACCCAGCATTGGGTTGGGGGCTGCAGGGCCACTCTCAGACCCCTTTGCCACCCGTCCCCACCCGCTGCAGCCCACATCAATGCTGGGATGGGGGATTTCCCCCCCTGGCAGGCAGGAAGGAGAAGCTGTAGGGATGTGGTGACGGGGAAGGGGCTCAACCAAGGTCAGGGCTCGCCAAGGATAAGAGCAGAGCAGGTGCTCCCTTCAGAGCTGGGCACCTCTCTGTGGTGGGGGATGGTGGGTGCCCCAACTCCCCAGACCCACTTAGGCTGCACTGGGCTCCCCCCCTGCAGCGGAGCATCCCTTGGGGTGCTGGCTGTGAGCTGTACCCTCTCTGTACCAAAGAACATCCAAAAAGGAGGGATGAGGGGGAAAATGGGATGTCCCAACAAAGCCAAGACACCTCTGGTTCCAGCCAGCTCCTTCCCCATGGTCTGTGCCGTGGCAGCGAGCTGGTCCAGGCATCACCCATCACCAGGAGAATTTCTGAAGGGGCAAAGCACTGCGGCTCCCTCCCGTCTCAGCTGGGACCTCAGGCACAAGTCATGCCCTGGCAGCGGGTGACACGAAGGGGACCCCCTCCCCCGGATACAGGTGCAAGCGTTGTGACTTACAAGAGCCCAATCCAATGCCTGCGGGATGGGGGCCAGCTCAACCCATCCCCTCCATGCAGCCCCTGGGGCTAAGGACAGTGGTACCCCCAAACTGGAGGACACTGGGTAACAGGGGTGCAAGCTGATGCTCCTCCAGTGACAGGGGAGGGTAACAAGAGCTGCTCTGGCACATGCAACACCTCGGTGATGGGCACACACGTGCTGCAGGATTGGATTTGGGGTTGACCCCGGGCAGGCTTGTAAGGGCAGAGGGCACAGGATCCCCTGCACACCCCGGCTGAGCCCCCCGGGGCTTCCCTACTCACATTCTCCAAGGGGGGGATCCGCTGCTTCAGGCTCTGTTTAACAGAGGACGGGGGTTAAAGAGGATGAAGAGGATGGAGCTGAAGTGGGAGGAGAGAGGGGACCAACCCTCCTGCAGACCCTACGGTGCCTATGGGCAGGGGACAGGGGCATGGAGGCAGCAATGTGCCGGGGTCACACCGGGGAGCTGAGACAGAAGGAGCAGGGATGGTGAGAGGGGACCAGATGTTCCAGCCCAGCTGGGATGCTGGTGTCCCCTTCCTGAGCCCTTGCACTGCCTCAGAGCCATCTCCAGACCTACTCTGGGAGAGCAACAGCGCTGCTGCAGCCAGCCCCATCGCTGCCTGGCACACCAG